GGGGAAGATTAATCAAAGAACTTATATGCATATATGCATAATCCACGGACACAGACAATAGTGAGGCGAAGGCCTGGGGGGTGTGTGCAGGTGCAGGGTTGAGGGGGTCAATGGGGGGAAAAGAAAAGGGGACATCTGTAATACTCTCAATAAAGATTAAAAAAAGAACCTAACTTCAAAAGGAGAAACATAGCTGCATTCTACAAGTTAGTAGCAAACTTTGCTTATACTATTGCAGAGTTCTTTTATGCTCTAAACTTTCATTAGGATTCATGAGTCCTAAGCAAACCCAGAGAGGGGGAAAAAAGCTTATGAAAATGGTAAATTTAAAACTGATTATTTTAGTATTCTTCACTTTGCCACCTGAAGACGCATCCAGGAAAAGTGTACAAAACAAGTGACTTTTATATCTGCTGTATAAAGTCAGTTAGCCCAGCTCTGTCTATTGGTTATTGAATACCTGCATGTGGAAGGCACTGCATTATGATAAGAGGGTTCTACAGAGCCCTTAAAGCATTCTTCCTGGCATATGCATTTATACATTTGTCTTCTGAAGTAGCCACATGCAAGGTTTAGTGTCATGTGCTGTGACTTGGATGTGGATGACTCAGGGACAGCATTCAGGAGATGCATCTTGTGGGGGAGGCCTGGCTGCATCGGAAAGCATGCTTACTGTCTGTGCAGTCTCTGTTAGTGTGGGGTCACCCTGCATGGATGAGTGGAGAAATGCTTATTCTCCCACAATCTAAATAGTTCATTGATTTATTCCTCCATCAACCATTGTGGAAAGATTTTGTTCTTTCTGCATTGCAATATATGATTAACTGTAAAGAAAACTTATGTTTAAATAGGCAAGTAGCTGTGAGACACATGGCAATAGCTGCCGTAAGGGAGGAAATGTCACCTTCTCCGGGTTATTAACTTGACATACCACTTAGAGGCATGTCATAAGGAAAAAAATCTTGTTTTTATAGTCAGGCAGGCCAACCCTGTTTTCATTAGAAACCCAATGGTTATGTCCTGAAAAGTCAATACCCAATTTACTGTAAATGAGAACAGAAGCATGCTGCCAATTTCAATATTCATGGCCCTGGTACCAGAACTGGGATTTTCTTGCCTCTGTCATAAACAGGACATAAGGAATGGTGGGCTAATACTCCACAAACACTTCATTTCCTGCTTACAAATGTCTGATAAACTATTTGGACTTGGCAATATCAGCCAAGCATCATATGTTATGGCCAGGATTGATGTTATGTCTAGAAATGGGCCAAATTTGTATTTGAAGTTGACAGCTAAGAAGGCATAATAGCAGGTACCCCATATGGTCTTTAGTTTGGCATAAACAGCCATCGGGATGATATATGGTGTTCATGTTACTAGTCAGTGCAAAGTACTTTCATAATTTCCCCTTTAATCAGTACTTTGGCATTCACAGAGAGATTAGAATGGGCAGACATCATTGAAATACTATTAAACAATTATTGGGAAATAGGGAGTTCATATTCTTGTCAACAAGATGCTGATTTTGTGCAGAGTGGCCATGTGCCCAGCCAAATATTTTTTCAGTCTTTTCTGCGCTTGGGCATGGCCTTGCAACATGGATCTAGCCCACAAGACACAAGCAGAAGTTCGCTAGGTGGGTCTTCCGAGGAAGCTTTCTGTTTTCCTGATAAACAAAGATAAACTTGGCTGACAGAGCTTTCTGTCATCATTTCCCCTCTGCCCCTCTTTTTTTGTGTATAACCTGAGAACAGTACTTGAAGGTGGAGTTATCGTGTTTTAATTATGGGGCCAGAAGGCAACACAATGAAGGTGGCAGAACAGAGAAAGAGTGGGGTGCACGGTTATCACTGAACTGCTACCCCCCTTAGATCACGTGCCTCTATTCTCCTGCTTCATGATATGAAGACTCCGTGATGGCTTTGGTCACTGCTTATTGGATTTTCTGTTGTTGCAACCACACTCATTACCAAATAATATAAAAAACAAAGATGATTTTTAACAGGATGTCATCATGAAAAACAGCTCGGCCAAAGAAAGTCCTAGACCTGGGCTGTCTAACATATCAGCCACAAACTACACGTGGCTGTTTAAATTTCAATTAAATTTAATGAAATTAAATAAGAGTAAAAACTCACTATCCACGTTTCAAGTTTTCCATAGCCCCACGTGGCTAGCAGCTACCATATTGGACAGCACAGATACAGAATGTTTCTATCATCGCATACAGTGCTTGTAGATAGTGTTAGTCTAGATACACCTCAGAGTTAAAAGCTTAAAAAAGGACTCCATTATATTCATAAATAGTTGAAACCAAGCTTGGCTCTTCATGTCAATGCTTTCTGAGTTGCTTTCTTTCTTTGAAAGGAGCGGTGTGGTTTGAAAGAAGAATGACATAAGATAAGAAGTCTGCGGGGTGCCTTGCCTCCCTTGTAAATGCAGAGAGGCTAAAAGCGGCACCTCAGGTCCTTGCAAAGAAAAAACTGATCTGGGTGCAATGCTCCTTGAACACAGAACTCCTTGCTTTCTGTGCAGACTGTGAAAACAAACACCGCACAATGCTTCCTCTCTCCTGCTCTGCTTTCCCATAAACACACACACATGGAATTAGTGGAGATGCTGATGCTGATGCTGTGCTGAGTTAGGGATGTGGTCTCTCGAGGGCCACATGGCCTGAGCTCAGCGCACATCTGGCTTCGCTGTATCCATAGAGCCTTCCTGCAGTCACAGGCATCAGTGGCTTCGGCTAACACAAACAAGGTCGTCTAAACAGTCCGCATTCTGCTAGCAAATGTTTTCAGTTCCCACTTTAGAGGTTAACAGCAAATAAAAATTTGGAAGCATGGTTAGGAATAGGAGTAGCCTGAGGTTCTCTTTTATTGCTGTTGCTTTGGTTTTTTAAGCTTTACCCCCCCCCCC